CCAATCTCAGCCGAAGCCTAAATATAAAACAAATAAGCAGATGTGCAGTTTAACTAAAACCCAAGGTTTGATTTTGCAGACTACTCCCCCGTCCAGCTGAAGCAGCTCCTGCTGAAAGCAGAGGCCATCGCTGGCAGGATGTTGCCGTTCAGCGTCTTCTACAGAAACCAGCAGGGGGAGTATTTCCAACCAAACAGGTCTGACCTACCGGTGCAACCTTACCAGTGCTCCGTGCTATATTAAATGTGTTTAAGCCCGTGCGTCTGTCTCTCTGCCTGCGCATGTGTGTGTTGTGTGAGCAGCCAGTATTACCGCTCCAGAGATGCTCAGTGCCGTCGCATGCTGCCGTCAGTGAAGGACAACAGCGGCAGCCACGGGTCACCCATCAGCGGTAAGCTGGAAGGAATCTTCTTCAGCTGCAACACAGAGTTCAACACTGGACGACCTCCACAGGATTCTCCGTACGGGCCGTACCGCTTCCAGGTACATCTGTTGAGGAGAACAACAACCATTTAGTCTATCCGTCATAAGTACCATAACATAAAAGGTGTTGCTGTTTTGGTTTCCTGGTACCTGTGATCTTGTTATGGTACTCATCTCTAGATTTTGTTCCTCTCCATGAAGTTGTGCCAGAAACCTTTGCAAAATCTGGATATTCGTGTCACGCAGAGATCTCAGATCCAGTTCAGTCCACCGTAGGACTATCAGAACTTCTTGTTGAACAAGTCCAACATGGGTTGAAGTGAGAGTTAGTTACGATGCAATTGTCTTGAGTGACCGCACACATCACGCATGTCCATTCGTGTTTTACAGATCCAAGCAGACCTCCTGTTCAACCAGAACACCAACGCCTACTTTGGGGATTTTTACTGCATGTACACCTCATATCACTATGTCATTGTGGTCCTGGCCCCCAGTGGCTCCAAAGGGGACATTTTTTGTAGAGGCAAGCTGCCAGCCTTGGATAGGTCAAACAACTGCTTCCTGAGCTGCAGTGAGGAAGAGGACGGCTCGCTGTCCTTCCGTCACGCTCAGGACGTCATCCTGGAGGTGATCTACACAGAGCCGGTTGACGTGTCTCTGGGGACGGTGTCACAGATCAGCGGACACCAGCTGATGAGTCTGTCCACCCTAAACGCCAAGAAAGACCCCAGCTGCAAAGTCTGCAACATCAGCGTGGGACGTTAGCGGCTTCTTCAGACAGGATGACCAGCTGACCCCATGGTATCACGCACAGGAGGTACTAACTGACTTTAACTCTACTGGTTACGTCCCAGCTGAAACCATGCTCGTTGATTGGTTCGGCATCAGCAAGACAGCGCCCTCATGTGGTTTTGGATGAAGACGGTTCAGGATGGGCAAAGAAAACATGGAAACTGCTGCTGGTTTCTGTCAGTCTGCTTTTTTATAACCTTTTCTGTCTGATTTTATTGTTCCCACAGTCGGTTTACAAAATATGCATCTGAACCCCGAGAGCTTAGAGATCATCAATGCCTTATCTTTCGTTTCAGTCGAGCTCTTCTACGGTAAAGTCTTTGGGTCGGGGGAAGTTGCGAAATTGAAATATAAGCTATAAACAGATTAATTCAGTAGAGAATAACGTCAAGATGCTCTGAATGTTCTATCTTCAGAATCAATAAACAGAAATGTCACTTGAAAAAGACTTGCTGTGGTTTCTATAAAAACAGCCAAATAGCTTCCAGAGCTTTTATCATTTTTAATCAAACATGGAAGATAAGTCTATTTGTAAAGAGAGAAACCTCAGTTAATCAGATGCTGAGCTTCCTCTTCTTCTGTATCTCCTCATCATTGAGTTCGCTCCGTGAATCTCTCAACAGTTTCATTGCTTATGTATGAAATACAGTCATCAAAACCCTTCCTAATGGGTCAGTCAATAAAGAGACATTAGAAATGAATATCATCTGTATAAATGTGTGAAATGTTCCTTAAAAATACTTACTTCCCATTAACAACTAGTGGTAAGTACTTATCAACTAGTTGTACTTATGGTAAGTACAGCTACCCTGAGGAACCCCACGTCGGATCAGTGTAAATAAATAAGGCTACAAAAATTGCCAGAAATGGAAGAACATCTTTTTTTTTTTTGTCTATGTTATATCTGTGGTTTTACTAGTGAACTCTGGTTCCAGGAATTCACTTATCAGAATAAAGATAAAGAGACAAGACAGGAAGAAAAAACCCAAAACTTAAAAACCTCATAAGAGAGGACAACGCAAACAGCATGAAGACAGAGACGGACATTTACCTGGACATGGCTCAACGGCTGGTGATGTTGCTCCTGCTGCTGCTCTGGGCTCAGGTAGGACAAAACAAATGTTAGGGTCAAAATACAAAACAAAATGTCAGTCTATTAAATTGTGATGTGTGGGATTTAAAACTATGATTTTTCTTTGCCAGGTTTTTATTTTTATTTCCACTGTTTAGAATATTGTATATCTGCTGACTTGACTGAAACCGTTTTGGTAAAAAAAAAAACTTGATATGTTTTGTTCTTAGAGAACAGAAATTACTTGACACCAAAACACAGAAGTTGATGAAGTGTCTCAATTCTGACATTACTAAGAATATGACTTGAAGCTTGAACTGAATAATTATATTTAATTCAGCTAAGTTTGATCTAAAAAAAAAAAGTGTTATAATTTTTGTCAACAAAACACAGAAAGACATGGTGCATATTATTAATGAGTTTCTGTTTGTTCTTATTTACGACTATAGAGCAGCAGGCTGAAGGAAACGACAGCCCAGCAGGTAATAGGATCCTGTTCAGTCAATGTGACGATTAAAAAATACATCAATACATTTAGGTATTGAAAAAAACATTTATGTCCAGCTAAAAGCAATCTGATTTACAATAATAAAATTTGTAATGTGGTAAATTATTTTATTAGAACAGTTTAATTCAGTGTGACTGCATTTATAACAGCAACATGCATAGAGATAGACCTGAATATAAACTGTTTTAAGAAACCAGATTAATATTAACTTTGATGCAATCCCCTCAGTACTATGAGACAGCACCGGAAAGTGAAAAAAAAGAGATTTTTCAGTTTTTATTTTCCATCACATCAACGTATCAGGGGCTACAATGGATTGAAAGAGGGATTTTTAACCTTTAGTTTATCAGTGTCATTACCATAACACTATAATCAAATATTTTCTCAGTGGGGAGCATTTTCCATGAGCATGAATCACACTTTGAAGATAGCGTGATTAATATTTCACAATGAAAGACAATAATTAAAGTAAGGGATTTAGAGCTTGAACGTTTTAAACAGACAGAAAGCACGGAATAGTATTACGAGTGTAAATGCAAAAGAATACAAAAGTGTTGCTTTCAAAATATATCAAAACACACCAATGAGCCGCTTTATTTTTTATTTTTTGGAAACTATTAGAAAATAAATATAAACCCAGATGCATTATTTATTTCATCTGTCATTATTATTTAAATGGAATGCCTTAACGGTTCTTTCTTCTTTGTGCACAACACGAGATTTTCGACTCACCTGAGCTCAACATTTCAACAACAGATTTGTAAAAAGCTTCATGGTGCTTTTTATTTAGCAGTGGATTATTGTGCTTGGTGTTCATAATACTGATGTTTGTTTAATGTTTTGTTTTTTTTAAGATTTTGTTGGCTCTAGTGGTTTTGAAAGTAGTCAAATACTCTTGAAGGAGAGAAGTGAGAGAGGGGGACGACATGCGGCGAATGACACCAGGCCGGGAATCAAACCTGTCTGTGAGGGCTAATGCCTCCGTATCTAGGTTGTGCTTTGCCCCTGCACCACCGCAGCAACCCTGTTTAATGATATATTAATTAGGGAAGAAAAAAAAAAAACTCAAAAGAACAAACTTGCTCTTTCCACATTTTTCTCCTGCTGTATCTTAGTGGATCAAGGTTCTTGGACAATTCGTGTGATTTTACCTCTCGAAGCATTAGAGGAAAAAAAAACTCAAGCATGTCTTTAAACACAATGTTGAATAGCACTTCTTACGTAGATCTCATTATTTGTCTCTTCTTAATCTTTCAGGAGCTTCATGTGAAACAACAAAAGCTGACGTTGTGCTGTTGGTGGACCAGTCTGGAAGTATCAACCCTCAAGACTTTCTAGATATGAAATCATTTATGTCTGAACTAGTTGAAAATATCCATATCGGGCCCTTCAGTTTCCAGATCGGTAATAATTTATGATCATCTATTAGAGTTGTTTAAGTCAGGACACAGTTTCTAAAAGAAATCACAGACAACCTTTTACAGATCTGGAAAGTATAGAAACATTTAAAATCACAAGTAACAAGGTTTTATTTATATTCATCCAGTACATCAATAGCACATTCATTAAAGCAATGTCTCAGTATTGTTTGACCAATAGCTATGTGCTTTTTGTAGGTCTGACTAAGTACAGTGAGAAAGCAACAACAGAGTGGGATTTGAACACACACAGAACCAAGAAGTCCCTGCTGAAGGCTATTAACAAAATACAGCAGGAAGGAGGAGGCACAAGAACAGGTCAGCGTATTATTTCTGAGAAAGCAGATTCTCGGCATGAAGAGCTGTGGAGATTCAGGCTCTGTTCAGTCACAAACCAGAACATCTAGAAAAAAAGTTACACTATTCCAGCCACTGTATGAAATCTAACAGTTTTCTTCTATCAGACAAACAACCTCTGATGAGAATTCAGACCTCACTAGATAATGTGAGGTCTGAAGAGGATAATGTGAGGAGAAGGAAGAAGGTTTTCAGTGATATGAAAACAGAATCCTGTGTCTGTTTGCTATAGAGAGATTCCTATATTTTCCTGTGTAGCAGTGGGGGGCAGTGCTCTCAGAAGCATCTCATTTCATGAGACAGACTGACAAGAATCTTAAGAGATTATATCACTGAGCCTTTGAAAGGACTTTTAATACTTTTTTTGTTGCAACTTACAGGAAATGCTCTGGAACACATTCTACATCGCAGCTTCAAACCCACAGTGGGGATGCGTGCCGACTCTAAAAAAGTGGCAATTCTGATCACTGATGGACAATCTCAGGATCAGGTGGAGCCAGCCGCCAAAAACCTGAAGGACACTGGGATAGAGACATACGTTATTGGTGACTGGCTTTTTCTGGATTGATTTGATTGAAATGATCTGAGTACAACACTTCGAAATCAAAAGTTGCTTGGATAAGTTGGATGAGTAAAGTCACTAAGATAGAGTGCAATGTGATTGGTGACTATCTGTTTCCAGACTTATTATTAGTCTGAGAGACACATCAGTGCCAGAGTTGTCTGCAGAAGTTTTAGTTTAGTCCACCAAGCTGTTTTCTTCTTAATGTATCAGTACAGTAATGATACTTTTTTTTTTTTAGGTGTGGGCCAAGACGTTGAACACAGTGAAATGAAGATCATCGCTTCTGGAGATGTTGGAACACATGTGTACATAAGTGAAGATTTTAGATTCCTCCACAGCATCATAAACAGCCTGACCCACAGCCTGTGTCACAGAGCTCCCAGCACAGGTAGCCATCACCTGCATACACTTGTGCCAGCAGCCTAGCATAGTCTAGTCATTTTTTTTTTTAATTGACAACATGAAGGTCTCTATGAATGTCTGACTTCGACATGTTCATTTGTGGAACAGTAAAAAACAAAGGATAACATTCAACAAAGTTGTGAAACTGAAAATGGGAACGCTGGCTTTTTTCCAATATAAGCATCCACTGGATGTGAAGTGTATGCAGATGATGCCGACCTATACTTTATTTCTGTGTGCGTGTGTGTGTGTGTGTGTGTGTTCAGACTCTGTCAGGTTGGTGAATGGTACCAGTCTGTGTTCAGGCAGACTGGAGGTGAAAACCTCCCAATCCAACCAGAACTGGTCTTTGGTGTGTAAAGATGACTTTGACTGGGAGGATGCAGACGTGGTCTGTAAGGAGCTAGGCTGTGGATCTCCTTCAGCCCTGAAGGGGGCGCTCTATGGAGAAGTGGAAGCTTCAACATGGACAGCAAAGTTCAACTGTGGAGGAACAGAGTCTTCCCTCCTGGACTGCAGAAGATCAGGCTCTGATAGAAACACCTGCCAATCTAAGAAAGCCCTCAGACTCACCTGTTCAGGTAAAAAAGGGGCGGAGTTATTCCTGTTCTGCTCAAACTGTACTATCATTTATTGACGACTGTCTGATTTATGTTCAGAACCCATCAGGTTGGCGGGAGGAGCCAGTCGCTGTGAAGGAACACTGGAGCTGAAACGAACAGAGTGGAGACCAGTTAAAGGTCCAGACTGGTTCTTGATGGAAGCAGCTGTCGTCTGTGGTCAGATGAACTGTGGTTCTGCTGTTTCTGTTCAAAAACGTGAGAAATCCTCGGTCGGATCTGTGTGGTGGGTCGGTTCTGACTGTGTTCGGTCTGGATATCCTCTGAGAGAGTGCGCATCAGCAGACTTATCTTCCTCCGTCCTGGACATTACATGTTTAGGTAAGTGTCTGAGTAACGTTTAAATCAAACTAATTATTAACAGGTACTTACTGACCCAGGGCAGAAAAACTTTTTCATTTTGTTTGCTCAACTCCATTGTAACGTTATCTGCAAGGATGAGGAATGTGACAAAGGAGAAAATGGAGCATTAGTCCCTCCATTGATATCTGTGAGCCTAAATCTCGTTGTCGTCTCATGAACAATCCCACATGGATGCCAGAAGACTTCTCTGTCTCTCATCCAGATGTCGCACACTGACAGTGTGCTCCAATATCTAACCTCTTTTTGTCAACCCTGGGAAAGTGTTGGCACAATGTTCTCTCAATCAGCCATAAGGAATTTTCCACAGCTCTGGTTGGGTTGATGTGGCTAGTTTCCTTCTCCAAGATGGCAGGAGCAAAACCACTGGTATTAACAAATACAACGGCCTTAATCTCTCGACGAATTTGGCGGAAGATGTAAACATCTGGTATCTTCTTGCACGTTACCGGGACAACGAATGGAAATGGCCTACCTCTCATGATTGAAGTGTAAAGCATGGCAAACTCTGGTTTCATGTTTTACCCTTATCAAAGAAAATCTCTAGGGTGGAAGATGTTGCATCCATATTGTTGTTCAGAAAAATGTTTAAACGTCTCTTTCACCTTTCCTCTGTTCAGACAGTGTCAGGTTGGTGAATGGTACCAGTCTGTGTTCAGGCAGACTGGAGGTGAAAACCTCCCAATCCAACCAGAACTGGTCTTTGGTGTGTAAAGATGACTTTGAGTGGGAGGATGGAGATGTGGTCTGTAAGGACCTAGGCTGTGGACCTCCTTCAGCCCTAAAGAGGGCGCTCTATGGAGAAGTGGAAGCTCCAACATGGACAGCAAAGTTCAACTGTGAAGGAACAGAGTCCTCCCTCCTGGACTGCAGAAGATCAGGCTCTGATAGAAACACCTGCCATTCTAAGAAAGCCGTCAGACTCACCTGTTCAGGTAAAAAAGGGGCGGAGTTATTCCTGTTCTGCTCAAACTGTACTATCATTTACTGACGACTGTCTGATTTATGTTCAGAACCCATCAGGTTGGCGGGAGGAGCCAGTCGCTGTGAAGGAGCACTGGAAGTGAAGCTCGGCTCATGGAAACCAGTGACAGCCTCAGGTTGGACCAAGAAGGCAGCAGCTGCAGCCTGCAGAGATTTGGACTGTGGTTCACTCATTTCCCAGGGAGCCAGGAATGACTCTTCAGTTGGAGGAGTTTGGGAGATGGAGATCAGCTGTTTGAAATCTGGACGTCCACTTAGGCAGTGTGCATCACAATCAGTATCGTCATCTCAGTCCGGCACAATTCTGGAGCTTGTGTGCTCAGGTAGAATCCAACAAGGCCGCCTTGTGTGCATCAAAGTACTTGTAGTCCACGCAATCTTTTAATACCAGGATGCTGAGTGTTCCCAGATCTACATTCAGATTCAAATGTGATGCAGCACTGAACTGGGCTGAAACCACTGATGAAACTGACAAGCCGATCATCTGTCTCCTTTCAGACCTGCTGGCTCATCCGACCATTTCGGTGTCGTCCAGAGAAGGGCTCACAAGCAACCCTGAGTCGACCTCAGTGGGAGTGTTTCTGGGCTTCAGCTTCACCATCAGCTGCTCCGTCCAGCCACAGTATCCAGGAGGCTCCTTCCGGCTTTCCTTCACTTCTTCCAACACCACACACAGCTACGCCCAGCCAGCCAGCAATCACTCTGCACACTTCTTGTTTCCTGCTGCAGAGCCGGCCCACGGAGGAAGCTACAGCTGTGTTTATAACGTCCATGTTTTCTCTCATAACTTCTCCTCCGACAGCCGCGTGCTGATTCTGAGAGTCACAGGTAAACTGATGGAGAGCTAAACGCTCTCCAACATCCACTGGGTTTGTTCTTGTGCTCATGCAGTGACTTGAGTGTGTCTCCTCAGATCCAACAGTTTTCCTCATCAGACTGGTGGTCCTGCTGCTGAGTCTGCTGATCTCCATCTCTGTGATTTACTGGAGCCATCAGGTTGCGGAGAGGTTTGTTTCTGACTCGGCTGAAGCCTTCAGATTGGGACGATGCCCGAACTCAGCTGGACGTGTGCTTGTGTCTCCCTACAGACCACCAGGGGGCAGCAGACTGACCCACGGAAGAAGTGGATGTTGGCGGAAGATGCGGGGTGAAGTGGCGGAAGACCAAGAGGAGGAAGCTCTGTAGCGACACCGTATGGTGGAGAATGTGTACTGAAGGAACCAGCTCATTAGAACCGCTGGAACATTCTTGATGTTACTTTGATGTTCAATGTCTTTTTTCCCAAAATCATGTCAGGTGCTGTATTTTTGGCTTGGTTCTGTTTTTCCAGACTCTTGTCTTTGGTTTTCTTATTAATGATTTTTAATATAATCCTTGTGATGATGTTTCTGGCTGTTTAGGTTTATGTAAATCTCAGATTATCCAGAGACTTTATAATCAGTAGCTGTGAGTTTGCTTTTTGTGTTATGTGTTAATGACATTCAGTCAGAATGATGATGAGTATGGAGCTGCGTTAGGGTCATATACCGTATTTTCTGGACTATAAAGCGCACCTGCATATAAGCCGCAACCGCTCTATTTAAAAAAAAAAAGATTAAAAAAAGACATACAAGCCGCACCTGCATATAAGCCGCATCCGCTCTATTAAAAAAAAAAATTAAACAAAGACATACAAGCCGCATCCACTTCATTAAAAAAAGTTTTGCGAGCCACAGATATTTATGTTTTTAGATTAGATATTTACTACAGGTACAAAACAATTTTGAATTGTAAATGAACATGTATGTACCTAAATAGATCCTTTCCTAACCTTTGTCTGAAAGCTTTCCTCGACTTCGGGCATTTCATAAACTCTCCCCGCTGCCTCCTTCAGCGTCTCACCATAGACTCATTGACGCTTAGCTTCCGAGCAGCAGCGCGGTTTCCTTTCTGTATAGCGACATCGATGGCCTTCAACTTAAAACTGGCATCATACATATTTTTTCGTGTGGGTTCCATGATGAAGGGGTGAAGAAGATGAATATAATAGGATTGGAAATTTGTCGTCCTTCTATCTGCTTCTACCAGTTATATCTGCTAAAGAGGAAGTAGCGTATTCTTCTTTGCATTTATTTTATCTTAGTTTTGATTCTAGTTCCGGTTAGGGCGAGGGACCGAAATGGCAGAGCAATTACGTTCAATTTGACACCGGCATGGCGTGGCATGTATCCGAAGTGGCAGGGAGAGCAAACAGTGCCACTTGGGTATTAGTTTGTATTGTACATCAGGGGTCATTTTGTGCCATTTGGGTGGAAATGCAATTTCTGTTAATTCCATTGGATGGCATTCCTGTTTTATGATTTTAACCTTATGGACACCATTATGAGTGTGTGGGGGAGGGGCGGCGTGCCATGAGGGGTCATGTCTGAGTGCCCCCTTGTGGCAAAGGGTCTTGATGATATTTCCCAAGTGCCGGGGGTCCATTATGAGTGTGTGGGGGAGGGGCGGTGTGCCACAAGGGGTCATGTCTGAGTGCCCCCTTGTGGCAAAGGGTCTCGACTTATTTTTTTGACACCCCACACACGTAAACAGTCAAAAGTATGTGTCTTAACCTCTCTGCCATGTGGGAAGGGGAGGACACGTTGTCCAAATTGGCTAGCAGTGCACCAATTTGCACTCAAAAAGGTCAAATTTGGGGCAAGTGTGGAGTTCCAGCCTCTTCAAAGGCGCTCGTTAATTAAGGTTTCCTGCCAGACTGAAGTGGTGCCACCTGGGGTCATGTGTGACTTAAGTGTCCACATCCAGATTGGACTGGATGTGGACCCACATCCTTGCACTGCAAGGTGCAAGTTGTTTCATGCTACCCCCTGGTTCTCATAAACACTTAACAACTAAGCTATAGACCTAGCTCAATAACACATTGGCTCATAGGACTTATTTTTTTGACACCCCACACACGTAAACAGTCAAAAAAAAGTATGTGCCTTAACCTCTCTGCCATGTGGGAAGGGGAGGACACGTCGTCCAAATTGGCTAGCAGTGCACCAATTTGCGCACTCAAAAAGGTCCAAAGTGGGAGAACCGTGGGATTTCAGCCGGAGCCTTCTTCACATGCACTGTTAATTAAGGTGTCCTGCTGGACAGGAGAAGTGGTGCCACCTGGGCTCATGTTAATTAAGTGGGCCATCAAATTGATAGCCCACTTAATTCACATGAGCCCAGGTGGGGCCACTTCTCCAGCATAAGTTGTTTCGTGCCACTCATTCTAAGGGAGAGGCAAGAAGAGGAAGCAGTGCGTTTCAGAAGTAAGTACATTTTTAGTTTTAATGGCAAAGTAACTTTAAAATGTGTTTATGCTTTAGTGAATTTAGGAGCATGCATGCATGCCTGCCTGCATTTTTTAATATTATTTTTATTTCTCCTTTTCAGCTTTGGAAAAAAATGACACCACCCAAATGCCCCTGCTATTGTCCGCTCTGCGACTACCCATATAAATATATGGGTAAACATCTACAAAGCCGGCATTTTGTTAAAAATGCGAAAGAGAAGAGGCTGCTAACAAACTTTGCCACTGGCAGAGTAAATTTTCGCCACTTGTCCTGTCCAGTGCCGGGATGCGGTTTTTCAAAGACCAGGCTTGACAGGCACCTGGAGCAGGGGCACCCAGAGCTGGATGGAGAAAAGCTGGCGGAATTGATTAAAGGAATAAAAAGAAAGGTTACAATTGACAGCCTGAGGGCCCTCAGGGCCTCTGATCCCAGCCCTCCCCTCGTGTCCAATCTGGATGTGGGCGATGATGAAGAGGAGATGATGGTGGACAACGCCGAGGCCATCTCCGATGACGGAGTCCCCTCCACCTCCTGCTCCTCCTGCCAGAAAAAATCCGCTGAGATTACTGAGCTGTGGAGGAAGTTAAGGAATAAAGAGCGGTTGATTAAAAAGGCCAAGGCCATCATAGCATCTATGTCTGAGGTATTTAAAATTATTTAATTTAAATACTTACCTGAATACATGCCATTTAGGTTCATATGCTAATGACCCTAAATGGCAAGTACTGGCTTGCCATTTAGGTTCATATGCTAATGACCCTAAATGGCAAGTACTGGCTTGCCATTTAGGGTCATATGCTAATGACCCTAAATGGCAAGTACTGGCTTGCCATTTAGGTTCATATGCTAATGACCCTAAATGGCAAGTACTGGCTTGCCATTTAGGTTCATATGCTAATGACCCTAAATGGCAAGTACTGGCTTGCCATTTAGGTTCATCAGCTAATGAACCTAAATGGCAAAACCTCATTCAGAGAAAAAAGGCTCAACTTTAAACTTTTAAAAGGAACTCAGAAAGGCCAAAATTGGGCCAGGAGTGGAGTCTGAGGCGGAGGCATCTGGAGGGCTTCTCCCAGACTCTGAGGAGGAGGATAGCTCAGCTGCGGAGGAGCCACCAAAACCATCTGACCCTGTGCTTTCGGTTCTTAATGCTTACAAGGAGTTCCCATCGTCCATCCGTAAGTAATGTGACTGCTTGCCACATTTTTCTACTTTATAAACCATGCAAGTTATTCTTGAAACCTTTTTTTCTTCAGTTCAGTACATGGAACAGTACTGGGTTCATCTGAAGGGATCGATGGGAACCCGTAAACACATTGAGAACCAGAAATCCAAGGTGGGCCGGGTGATGATGTTTTTCAAGTTCATGACTGAGGGGAGGTCAGTACTTCCAAACTGGACGTTCTTGGAGAACATCAGGAGGATTCACGAGTAAGTATCTCTCTAATGCATGTTGATTAATGTATCTGTTCATGTTTAAGTTATAACAATTATTTCTGAACAGGTGGCCAGAACATCTGTATGGGGAACAAAAGGCCATCACCACCATTAAACTGTACCTGGTCAACGTGTTGGAGTTCCTCACCTTCTTCCGGGAAACGCCGCCGTCGACAGCACGTGTGTCCAAGAAATCCCTGGTTGCCGTGGTGAGGGCTATTTCCTGTGACCTCCGGAGGCTGGCGAAGCGCGTGGTTCTCCGCCAGATGCAAGTGAAAAAGAAGAAGGTTGTAAACCTAATTCCGAAGGAGGATCTCAGGGCATGCCAGAAATCTGCACGGCGAAGGATCCCCATGCTGCTTGGTAAGACTTATTTAGAATCGTTTACACATTCATTTACTTACCTGAATACGTGCCATTTAGGATCATTCATAAATGACCCTAAATGGCAAGTAGGGGCTTGCCATTTAGGATCATTCATAAATGACCCTAAATGGCAAGCCCCTACTTGCCATTTAGGGTCATTTATGAATGATCCTAAATGGCAGGCACTTATTTAGTGACTTACCCGAGTTTTAATTTATATCTTTGTAGAGGCCCTCCGCCTGCTGCCCTGCCCGAACGTTAAGCGGAAGTTCTTTGGTTACTTTGGTGCCTACTGTGCCAGCCTGTATGGACATCGGACTGGGGTTCTCACCAACATGTGTGTTGGGGAAGTGGATGAGGCCAGGGCAGAAGCCGAACTTGGCCACGATGGCTTTGTCATCAATGTAAGTTTAATGATGTTGCTTCATGTCTGCCACATTGGATCATTTACGAATGATCCTGAATGGCAGGCAACATACCCTCTCCTCTCCTTTGGCACTACAGGTCAAGGAACACAAAACAGCTGTGCATGGCCTTCGGGCCTGCACAGCTGTTCCTGACTACTGAGGAGTTTGGCTGGCTTGAGCAATGGTTGCACATAAGGAAGAGCTTCAACCCATCCTCTGAGCTGGTTTTCTTTAACGAAAACAACCAGAAGGTGATGAACCTGCAGCAACATCTGCAGTCTGCCTGGTCGGAGATGGGGCTTTCCGGGTCTCCCACCTTCATGGACATACGTACCTCCATTGCTACCTATGTAAGTAATTATATCAGTTATTATTGTTGTGAAAATGTCAAATAAAAATAAAGTATTTCACAATTTCCTTTATTTTTCAAGGCCAGAAATGTCTTGTCACCTGGGGCCAGAGGAAGAGTGAGCAGCAGCATGTGCCATAATGTTTCGACGGCTGAGAAATTTTATGCCATGCATCAGACTGCTGACCAGCTCTCTGAGCTGCGCAAGACATTTCAGCTGGCCACTGACCCTGATGCCCCAAGAACCAGCCTCGAGGAGACTTCTCAACTGGAGTCTTCCAGTGCATACGAGGAGCCTGCAAAGGAAGTTAAGGTCAGTCTTTAAGAATCCATTACTCAAAATGGCAGACATGAAGCTGCCACTTCGGGTCATTCAGACATGACCCGAAATGGCAGCTTCAAGTTTGCCATTTAGGGTCATGTCTGAATGACCCTAAGTGGCATACTTGAAGCTGCCATCTAGGGTCATTCTAACATGATCCTAAATGTTCGCCACAGGTTCCTTCCGGTCAGACAGGCCCCACCCAGAGCCAGGACTCCGCTGACTTGTCCGGTCAGACAGGCCCCACCCAGAGCCAGGACTCCGCTGACTTGTCCGGTCAGACAGGCCCCACCCAGAGCCAGGACTCCGCTGACTTGTCCGGTCAGACAGGCCCCACCCAGAGCCAGACCCAGAGCCCCTTGCAGACGCCGAGGAAGAAGAAGTCTGTTTTTGATGTTCCACAGTGCAGTCCCTTGCTTGTCTACCGTCTGCGCCGCAGGCTGGCAAGGGTGACTCCAGAAAAACGCGTCCTGAGGTTGAGGACGCAGAAAGTTAAGAAGTAATTGTATTTTAAAGCTGTGTTGTTTGCTGTGTTTTTTTTCTTCCTATTATACTATTTTAGAAATGTTGGTGTGTTCTATTACTTATTTCTGTAAATAAACTTGTAAATATCTTGAGAAATGTCTCCCTTGATCATTTCTTCCATGTAGGTCCATGTGTAGATGCTTCAATATTATCAGTTAACATCCTGTGTTGAATCTTGTTGGTATTTGTTAAGGTGATGGGTAGCGATAAGTGTTTGCAATTTGGGAAGATTCATCGATGCTCCCAGATTGCGTTATTGTGTACTTGCCATTTGGGAGGATTTGAGAATGTTCCCAAATTTCCATCACTTTAACATTTAAGAAAGAAAAAATCCAGCCAAGGCTGGATTCAAACCAGGGCCTCCTAGGTGGCAGGCAAAGTTCTTATCCTGTCAGCTATCAAGGTTGCATTTTAGTGGGGCTTATATCTTTTCACTTTGCCACTTGGGAGGATTCTTGGATGATCCCTGGTTGGATAGTGGCATGCCTGCTATTTAGGCTCATTGACAGATGATCCCAAATGGCAGCTTCATTGTTAAACTGTTCATAAATAAAAGGAGGTTCCAGCCGTGATTACACATTCTTCAGCTTTTTATTCCAGTTGTGTAATGGTCTATTCACTGTATTGGTTTGATTCCCCATTTATGATAACAGAGCCCCATTGGGTACTCTGGAATTCAGATCTAGGATCCAGTTGTGTAATAGTTATTGTGCCCCACATGGGAATCGATCCTGGTTTGCCATAAGTCGGGCACCTTAACCACTCGGCTGTTGGAACCATGTGGCTGACATGGGCTCATAGTACTTATATCTTTTATGTTTGCCATTTAGGATCATCTGTGAATGCACCTAAATGACAAACATGAAGCTGCTGTCATTTACAGATGATCCTACGTGGCAGCCGTTCCTGCATCACTGAACTCTAGGTTGAATCCGTAGCCATTTGACGACTGGAGCCATAGTCTGTGAAGTGCTTTGCCATTTGGGGGGACCAGGGAAAGCTCCCAAGTGGTCCTGGCCCCCCCAGCGTAGGGGAGCTTCGGACAACGTTCCGCCTTGTTCTGTTTATTCTTCCCAGTGTTGGGAATGAGCCGAGCCCACTTTTGTCCCATTAAATGCATGTCACGCCCCCTGGGGATCCTGGGAATGTCGGATCCCCCGTGTCCAAATTCCCATTGATAATGATACCGGGATGGCAAAAGTGCCTTGCCACTTAGGATCATTGACAGATGATCCCGGGTGGCAAAAGCATCTCAAAAAAAGTTGTGTCCCTAAAGGAACACTGCTTTTTATGGTAGTTTGGTGGGAATCGAACCCTGGCCTCTTGACTGAGTGTCAGCTGCCTGGATCACTTCGCCAACAGAGAAATATGATACACCATTGTCAAATGGTCCATATCACTCTTAATGTTGCCATTGAAAAAGTAAAATCTGACAGCCGAGGCTGGATTCGAACCAGGGGCTCCCAGGTGGGAGTCCAGGTTCCTACCCGGCCAGCTATCAAGGTAGCATTTCAAAAGGGCTCATAGTCCTTTTATCTTTTAACTTTGCCATTTAGGATCATTCACAGATGATCCCTGGTGGCAAAATGAAAAAAACAAAAAAACAATAAGGTTCCAGAGTGCTCTGGATTCAAACCCCGGGCGCAGGGAGGACGCCGAAGTACGCAAACCATTACACTACTGGAACCATACACCTGGAAGGGCTCCTAGTGCTTATGTCTTCGACACTCCATAAACAGTGAAAAGTGTGGTCGGGGCCTGGCCTCGAACAAGGTTCCCCCGCATGATAGTCGGGGGAATTAACCTCTCGACTATAGTGACCCATGTGGCAAATGAGCTCATAGGACTTATATCTTCTAACATTGCCACTTAGGAGGCCTTTGGGTGATCCCTGGTGGCTTAATGTCACTTTGGTGTATTTATGCCTGCTCCCAAAATGCACCTCTTTGTTTCAAAGTCCCAGGATGGCAAAAGGTGATCCAGGATAGCATCCTACCAGGGGCACGAGGTTCCAGGCCCTGGGTACTGGAGGGTTTAGTCCGTGGAGGGGTGCTTAAGTGTGGGTACACGGGATTGAGAGGTGATCAGGTTGCTGCCATTTCATGGAAGTCCTGTATGATCCCAAGTGGCATACTGGCCCGGAGTGGGCCATCGGTCAAAGTCCCCTGGGCCGCCCTGGTTCTCTGGTTGTCCAGGTCTCTGCCATTTCATGGAACTCCTAGATGCTCCCAAGTGGCAAAGTGGCCCTGGTGGCATACTGACCCTGTGGCAGCCATCGGTCTAAGTCCCCTGGTTCCCCCTGGTTCTCTGGAGGTCCAGGTCTCTGCCATTTCATGGAACTCCTAGATGCTCCCAAGTGGCAAAGTGGCCCTGGTGGCACACTGGCCCTGTGTCAGCCATCGGTCTAATTCCCCTTGGCCCCCCTGGTTCTCTGGTGGTCCAGGCCTCTGCCATTTCATGGAACTCCTAGATGCTCCCAAGTGGCAAACTGGCCCTGGTGGCATACTGGCCCTGTGTCAGCCATCGGTCAAAGTCCCCTGGGCCCCCCTGGTTCTCTGGTAGTCCAGGTCTTTGCCATTTCATGGAACTCCTAGATGCTCCCAAGTGGCATACTTACCCTGTGTCGGCTGTCTAAGTCCCCTTGACCCCCCTCTGGAGGTCCAAGGGGGTGGTCAGGCCACCTCCATGCGGAACTTTGGTGCTCCTTCCCTGGGTAAAGTACCTCCATGAGTCCCCGCTGGTTCTCTGGAGGTCCAAGGGGGTGGTCAGGCCACCTCCATGCGGGACTTTGGTGCTCCTTCCCTGGGTAAAGTACCTCCATGAGTCCCCGCTGGTTCTCTGGAGGTCCAAGGGGGTGGTCAGGCCACCTCCATGCGGGAGTTTGGTGCTCCTTCCCTGGGTAAAGTACCTCCATGAGTCCCCCCTGGTTCTCTGGAGGTCCAAGGGGGTGGTCAGGCCACCTCCATGCGGGAGTTTGGTGCTCCTTCCCTGGGTAAAGTACCTCCATGAGTCCCCCTGGTTCTCTGGAGGTCCAAGGGGGTGGTCAGGCCACCTCCATGCGGGAGTTTGGTGCTCCTTGGGTAAAGTACCTCCATGAGTCCCCCCTGGTTCTCTGGAGGTCCAAGGGGGTGGTCAGGCCACCTCCATGCAGGAGTTTGGTGCTCCTTCCTGGGTAAAGTACCTCCATGAGTCCCCCTGGTTCTCTGGAGGTCCAAGGGGTGGTCAGGCCACCTCCATGCGGGAGTTTGGTCCTTCCTGGGTAAAGTACCTCCATGAGTCCCCCTGGTTCTCTGGAGGACCAAGGGGGTGGTCAGGCCACCTCCATGCGGGACTTTGGTGCTCCTTCCCTGCATCAGATCTCATAAAGTGATTAAAAGCAAAGTGTTTCTTTGGATGTTTAGTCTTTCTTGGACTTTATCTGACAGGTAAAACAACATTGAAGCTAAATTGAAACATTTTATTTTAGCCACTTTAATATTAAGTTTCTCATTTTGTTTCTAATAAAGATTATTTCGTCGTTGAATTGCATTTTTACTGTACTTACAAACCAAATTTAATGTGTGAATCCTAAAAACAAGAAACAGCCTCTATGGATGAATTCAATTAAGCCGGAACTTCAACTTGAATTTTCAAAATCAAACTGCTTTGTAAATAAGAAAAAATAATAATACAATAACCTTTGTTGGGTGGATTTTCATTCTAAAAATCTGCAGAGATTCCCTCTGCATGGAGACACCAACTCTAAACATTCATCAGTCTGGAAATCCTGAGTTCTCCGGGTGAAATAGTTTCTGGTAATTGGATTCCTTAACGAGACACCGGCTCCTCTTTCAGTTCTACTAAAATTTACCCATCAAGAAATCAACAACAAAGCACAAAGTGTTTTTGCTCAAACAGACAGTAATATTCAAGTATGTTAACAATCAAGTACGTTACATTCAGTTGTTAAATCAAGTATGACTTAAAAGAAATTTGACTTCACTATTCAACACCTTAAAATTTGGCCTCTGTCTCTTTAAAAACTCCTATTCTGACTCTGCCTTTAAGGATGTCGTTGCATCGCTTCACAAAAATATTAATTTCACTCCAAGTACAATCTTTATATTAACATAGAACTCACTTTAATAACTTCATAACAAAGCTTTTTCCATTGATTGGGTAAACAATATATATATATATTGATATTATAAAATTTATGCATATTAATGTTGACCAATGTGTTCAACTAGTACACAATGGTTTTCCATTCCAAAAAATGCTCCCCAAACATTTAAATGTGTAAATATAGAAGTGAAAATAAAGAAATCATTAGTTCTGTCGGTGGGATAGAGCCAGCAGGAAAGAGATGATTCGTAATTTGAGTTGATTCGTAAGTTTGGACTTGTATATTTCTGAGTTTTCTTTTTGTGGCTCCATAATGTTTGATAACAAAAATGAAAATCTCTCAATTTTTGACATTGTCTAGCAAAATGGTTTTTTTACGTCAGGCTACAATAGAACGTTCAGTTCCAATGGTCTCAGTGACATCAGCAGTTATGACATCACTCTGTGATGCCACAAAGGAATCTCTCTCTTGAATGTAGCTCAGAGACAGAGTTTCCTCAGACCTGTTCGACAGTTCTATTGCGACAGATCACTCTCCAGTGCATGTTTGAGATTAATCAATTCTTGATATTACGAGCTTTTCAGAGAAGAACCGACAAGAGCATAGAGATGAAGACCACTTGTGTACTTGAAACTATTCAACCTGAGCTTTCCTGGAATGAAATGATGGCGCTCAACGTCCAAGTGGACTATGACGCTATCCTTACTTTTGATGATGACGATGATAGCTCCACTGAAGACGAATCAGAGATTCAGGGGGAACCAAGTTCTTCTAGCGACGGTGAGAGTCCAAGATCCCTCGAAGTTGAGCAGGAAACATCTCCCTCTGCTGACTTTGAGATCAGCCCCTTAGTGGAAATGCGCCAACAAGTAATCGATCTCACAAACCAGGTCGAAAATCTTAATACGGAATTGGAAAACAAGATTTGTGAACTCCAAGAGGAAAGAGATCGAAGGATTGCGAGGGAGGCTGAAATCAAGTCACAGAAGAAGGAAATTAAAAAACTCCAAAAGACGTTAGAGAAAGAACGTGAACTGCAACTTAAACGTGAGCATGAAAGAAATATGACAGAGACAGGCTCCAAGGTTACAGCCGACAACAGCCTTCAGCAGGTGGATTACTACAAGCGGGAGGCAGAAAAATATGCCTCCCGCAATACGGAATTGATAGATGTTATGATTGAGGAATATAGAGTGAGGCTTAAATACGAGGAACAGATCAAGTGTCAATCTGACCAAATTTTAAAATTTAAAGAACAGGAAGAAACGATGAAATCTCTGCAGGGCCAGGTTGCAGAGCTGAAGTTAAAGTTGAAACTTGCCCTGGAAAAAAAACATAATAGCGTCTCCACCCAAACAGAGAACCCCGTGCAACCAGAGGAGTCCACCCAACGGCAGACCTTGAATCAACCAGGGAAGTTTGAAGAACGACAGACCTGGAATCAACCTCAGAGGCCGGAGGAAAGATGGACCTCCGGCCAAACAGGGAGGTCCAATGACAGATGGCCCTCCGGCCAAACAGGGAGGTCCAATGACAGATGGACCTCCAGTCAAACAGGGAGGTCCAATGACAGATGGACCTCCGGCCAAAAATGGAGGTCTGAAGGAAGACAAACCTCCACTGGTAGCAGGGATGGCCTCCATTTTGGCATTGGCATGAAGGCCAACCGATGCCCCGTTCGGCCTTTACTAACATGGTAAACTATGTAAACCCAGGTTTTGCCAACACTGGCCATTAGGAAAATTTGAGGCTTTACACAAATTTAGAAAATCAAAACAGATACAGGCCTCAATGCAAATAAAATTCCTGACTCCAAAATCAAAGGAGAAACACAAGATCAGTTTCAGAGTTTAAAACAGAATAACATTGTTTAAACCTTCCTGTATGAAAGTTGCAGCAAGTAAAATTTCTGAAAAAAGGTTTAATTGGTCTGTCTAAATTGCCCTAAGGCAGGAGTGGGCACTCCTGGTCCTCGAGGGCCCGTGTCCTGCAACTCTTGGATGTCTCCCAATAGCTGAATCACCTCCGAAATGCAGTCAAGTTCTCCAGAGTCCTGCTAATGAACTCATTATTTGACTCAGGTGTCTTGAAGTAGAAACACATCTAAAAGTTGCAGGAGACCAGCCCTCGAGGACCAGTGCCCACCCCTGCTTTAAGGTGTGAATGTGTGTTTGCAAGGATAAATGTGTTTGGATGGATGGATGAATATTTGTTAAAAGTGTCTGACAGCAGCATATGAAACAGAGATTCTGTGAACAGTCCTCTGGCTCTGCTGCTCTCCAGAAACAACTAATCAGAACCGAAAGATGAACATTTGGTTCTGATTGGTTTTTAATGTGTTGAATGTCTCAGCACATTCAACACATTAGACTATTAATGTACTGCAGTTACGGAAGTGGCAGAAAAACAACCAAACATTGTATGATTATTTATAGAATGATTTAGAAAACAAAATGCTATATAGGTTTGTCAAAACTATTTGGACCCGTATTAGAACTTTGCAATGATTTCCCTTCATTTTAGTAGCTGCGATTTTGCCAAACCCAGACATTTTGCCTGACCCTAACATCAACTAAAATTTAATTCACATCTTACCTCTAAATATTTCCCCTGACCCAAAGCAATGAGTCATCCTATTAGGACCAGGCTTTGGTCCTAATATGATGGACATAATATGACACTGGACATACAATGGTGCGATCACGCCAAACACATTTTGACCATCATCTGGTGTACATTCAAAGTCTATGTGGAGGCGCGTCGAGGGCCGATGTGGCGCGTTTGACACATCGAGGGAGTCCATGGCGTCCAACATTCCACATCGACTGAATGTAAACCAAAGACTCGCCTGACGCTCAAAACGTGTTCGATGTGAATGCATCATAAAAATGTTCAGTTCTTATGGTAACAGTGACATAAGAAGTGATGACGTCATTCTTCGATGCATCAAAGGAATCTCTCTTGTGTAGCACACAATTTTTTTCAGACCTTATAAGTCTGAAAAAAATATATGAGTCTTCTACAGGAACATTGTTAAAATTGTTTGAAGGCACAGAACTTTTAATTTTTTTTTTCTTTCACATCTTTTTCAGTTTTTTTTTTTTCCTGACTTCCATTTTTTTTTCTTTTCGTTTTGAACATGGCCTCAACTTGGCTCCATAGTTGCATCAGATTAAAAGCAAAGTGTTTCTTTGGATGTTTAGTCTTTCTTGGACTTTATCTGACAGGTAAAACAACATTGAAGCTAAATTGAAACATTTTATTTTAGCCACTTTAATATTAAGTTTCTCGTTTCGTTTCTAATAAAGATTATTTTGTCGTTGATTGCATTTTTAATGTACTGACAAACCAAAAAAAATTTTTTAATGAAAAACAGAACACAACCTCTTGGATGTTCAATAATAATCAACCTGAATTTTCAAAATCAAACTACTTTGTAAATAAGAAAAAAATAATAATGCAATAAACTTTGTTGGCTGGATTTTCATGCTGAAATTCTGCAGATTCCCTCTGCATGGAGACACCAACTCTAAACATTCATCAGTCTGAAGCTGTCCACCCTGAGATTCGTCCAGATTCCAGTCGGAGCATCATGGTTCCGTGACATTCTGCTCCTCGGAGCAAGAAACACGCTTCAGTAGAGGAACGAGAAACTCCAAACATGTTCCTCATTCTTGCATTTCTCTGAAAAAGTGAAGTAGTTTCTGGCGTATCTCTCTTGCCAAATAAAGTCCAATCCTCAAATACGTGTCGTTACTCACTGCTCGTTGCTCCGTTGCGCAACGGAGCCGGAAACCTTTAAGGCTGTGCTGTTGTGGGGACTATTTAGTGTTCATGAATTTAGCTTTGACATCACTCTGCACCGCCAAAAATATATAAGCTTACAACAGGAAAAGGAAATAACACATCACCAAAAGAGAAGAGTGGAAAAGATTAACAGACCCACAAAAACACTTTTCTCTCCTGCATATGGATCAAATGTTGTTGCTGCTGCTGCTGAGCTCAGGTAAGACTCAAACCCTCAGCATGGTTTGGCCAAGGTAAGAGGTACTTGTCTGCCACTAAGCCGTGTCCCTGTTCTCTGACATCAACCTTTGAACTCTTCGGTTTCCTGCTCCTCATCCTGCATCTGTTGGTGTTCAGCTGAGGGCCAACAGAGCGATGCATTTCTACACCTTTTACTGGAGACTAAAGAGAGGAAGAAACATTTGTCTGAGGAACATCAATATTTTTACTTGTTGAAACTTTACAAAATTTGGTGCTTTTAACCGTCCTTGTAGAAATCACTATTGCTTCCTCTTACAGAGGTTCGGGTCTTTTGCAAAGTATGACGCTCAGTTTTAGCAGTGTGCTTATATATTATTACAGTTGATGGTAATAGAGCCTTTCTAACACCTGCTGATATTTGTGTGCTGGTTTTCAGGGCTGCAAGGCGATGAAATCTCCAGCTACACAGGTAAACAAATTCATTTCTTCTGACACAACAAAAGTCAATAAAGTCATATTGTAAAACAAACAAAAAAATTTCTTTAATTTACCGTATTTAAATTAAAGAGTCACAGCTGAGTCACAGTCACAGTCACAGCTGCTGGTATATTACTGGGAATATGAGACTTTTTTTCACTGTATCAGTTAATGTATTTAATGCAGAATCAATTATTTTAGCTTTATTCGACAGAGTTGAATTGTTCTCCCTGTGTTTTGTGAAATGCCGACATAAATAACTGTCTTCCTGATGAAGCCCACGAACTGTATTAACTCTTCACACTCCATTACAGAACTCTGTTGTTCTTCTCAAGGGCATCAGTGCAACATTTCTAAGGGAGATGATGGATTTGCTTGGACTTAACAGGGTATTCTTCGGTCAGAATCCGAATTTTAGTTTTATTGCTGTTCTTCAGATTCTATACTGGCCATGAGATGAGCATAACAAACACTTTGTTGATGTGCAGGGTGTTGCAGAGCTGCTCATCATATCAAAATTTCTCTTTGCCATCCGAGATGACTGTGCCTTATTCTCTGGCATTGGGTTAGATTTTCCATACCCTTGACGCCCACATTTATTTATTTATTTTTTGCTACTGAGAAACTAAAGCTCACAGAAAGTGGTTGAGATGCCAAGATGATGTGAAAGAAAGAAAAGTTCGGAAATGTGTGTTTTCTTAACCGTGCCAAAAATGAGCAGAGGAAATGATCCAAAAGACAGATAAAGCTGTGCTAAGAGCATTATCATGTTTAACATTATTTTTGACATAAATGTGTAACTGTTTTCTTCTTTCAGCATCTCAGTGTGAAATGGCCAGCGCTGACATTGCGATGCTAGTGGACGGTTCCGGGAGTATTAGCCGGGATGACTTTGGAAGGATGAAATCATTTATATCTGAGATGGTTCAAAACTTCCCCGTCGGTCCCAACAAAGTCCAAATAGGTATCATCACCTCATTCTCGTTTAAACAAAGGTCAAATAATGAGCTAGCGTAGTGTACACAATATGCATGTATCTGTCAATATTGTTGTCAAAACATATTCTTGCTCTGAGTTTCTGTTTGATTTGATCCATTCGGTAGGCTTGACTCAGTACAGTCGCGACCAAAAAGCTGAGTGGCACCTGAACAGCCACAACAAGAAGCAGTCCCTGCTGCAGGCCATCAACCAGATAAAACAAATACATGGAAGCACAATGACAGGTCAGTGTGTTATTGGGTTCTGACCATGAGGAACTCTGGGACTTCAGGATCTTAACGGTTCACAACTCAAAACTAGAACTTTTCAAATTTTTTAAGGGTTCTAGAGCAACTTATCCCTCAAAATATAACCTGGGTCAGCTTTCTCTGTTAGCTTAGCTGGAACAATATTAGACAGAAGAAGATGTTGCTCAATATAGAAACCACCGTCACTCTGTTCATTGGGAGACAGAAGCAAAGATAAAACTTTCAGCAACAAATAAGTTCTTACAAAACTACAAAAGACACACCAAACATTACTGGACCACAACTAGATAAACTTTTGATACTGTCAACATGAAAGTAGTTTAAATCGAAAAGTTCTGGACTTTTTTCTGGGTCCATATTTTTACCTAAGTCTGGTAGCCTGGGCATGTAGATGAAACCCATCAGATGTAAAAACCCATTTCTAAAACATTTCTTTCTTCTTCCAACATGCAGGGAAAGCTCTGCAGTACATTGATAACCACAGCTTTACACCCGAGGTGGGAACGCGTCCAGACTCAAAAAAAATTGTTGTTCTGATCACTGATGGAGAATCTGTTGACGACGTAGAAATCCCAGCGACGAATCTGAAAGACTCTGGGATCGAGGTGTTTGTTATTGGTAATGTCTCTCCTCTGTCTGGATGATATCGTTTAATTGTAGAGCAAGTTTTCCTTCTTCGATCACTGCTGTAACAGTACATGCGTGTTTCAGGTGTGGGCCGAGCTTTTCACGCACAAAGGGCCGTTCATGAACTGAGGACCATCGCTTCTGCAGATGTCAACAGTCATCTTTACCTTATTTGGGATTTCCAATCCCTCCATGATGCTGCCATCAATATCTCCACCAGCATCTGCCATGCTGCTACTGAGCCGAAACAACTCCCCAGTTATTGTGAGAGCATTTGAAAATACTCTGTTTTTTCCAAAGTCATAAAAGTCAAGAAATAATAAATAAATATCCTAATCTGAATTTCAACTGATTTTATAAGCAAATTAGAAAAATGACAGTCACAGCCTCTGGAGCTAATTTCCTCCTAAACAAAAACGCACTACTACGAAGTGACAATGATGTGTTTGGAATCACACATATATATATATATATAAATCTCTACTGTAGGGTAGGAACGTAGATCGACTGGTAAATCGAGAGCTTCGCTTTTTGACTCAGCTCTCTCTTCACCACGGTGGACCGGTACAGCGCCCACTTCACGGCGGACGCTGCACCAATCCGCATGTCGATCTCCCGCTCACTTCTTCCCTCATTCGTGAACAAGATCCCGAGATACTTGAACTCCTCCACTTGGGGCAGGACATCTCCCTCGACCCGGAGAAGGCACTCTACCCTTTTCTGGCTCAAGACCATGGCTTCGGATTTGGAGACACTGATCCTCATCCTGGCCACTTCACACTCGGCTGCAAACTGCTCCAGTGAGAGCTGCAGATCACGACCCAATGAAGACAACAGGACCATATCATCCGCAAAAAGAAGAGATGCGATCCTAAGGCCACCAAAACGGATCCCCTCAACACCCTGGCTGCGCCTAGAAATTCTGTCCATAAAAGTAATGAACAGAATCGGTGACAAAGGGCAGCCCTGGCGGAGTCCAAACCTCACTGGGAACGAGCCCGACTTATTGCCGGCAATGCGGACCAGACTCTGACACCGGTCATACAGGGACCTGACAGCCCGTATCAAAGGGCCCGGTACCCCATACTCCCGGAGAACCCCCACAGGGCACCCCGAGGGACATGGTCGAACGCCTTCTCCAAGTCCACAAAGCACATGTAGACTGGTTGGGCGAACTCCCATGCACCCTCCAGGACCCTGCAGAGGGTGTAGAGCTGGTCCAGTGTTCCACGACCAGGACGAAAACCACACTGCTCTTCCAAAATCCGAGGTTCGACTATCCGACGGACCCTCCGCTCCAAGTGAAGACCCAAACCTCCTCGGCACCTCACCCGTCCTCATTTCCAGCCAGCAAGATGTCCGCAGATCCAGTCCGGCAAGATGTCCTCTGCTCCCCAACCAGTCCGGCAGTCCACAGGATCCAGGAACAACAGAGGAGGCCAACGCAGATCCAGTCCTTCAGCCCCGCCACAAATTCTCAGTATAAACGCAACCCGCTGCTCCAGGCTCAGCTTGGCTAAAGCTTCCACGACGGAAACCTTAGTTAAAGTGTCCGTTAGCTGGGTTAGCTTACCGTCCTCAATGGCTATTCACTGTGTTAGTGAACATCGATGCGGCAGCGAGCGTTACACCTACGATACAGTGAGCTCCGGTCTGGAACCGTCACAGCAGCGGCAAACCAGAATGCAGTGTCAATATACATTCAGCGACTGTCGAACTGAAAGTCTAAGCATGCATAAAACACGCGTTCTCTAAACTCTGCCACGTTTCTTTTCTTTTGGCGCGGTTCATCCCTCTAACTTCCTGTCTCCTTCCCTCCTCTCCTATCCTTCCTGACCCTCAGCCAACCATGGACCAGTCAAGTTCCTTTTATCTATCCCACTTCCTCTTACAAATATGAGCCCTTCAAAATAAAATATGGTGAAGACTACTTTTTTAAAAAACCTATAAGTACAGTCTACTTCAGGGGTGGGCACTCCAGGTCCTCGAGGGCCGGTCTCCTGCAACTTTTGGATGTATCTCTACTTCAACACACCTGAGTCAAATAATGAGGTCATTAGCAGGACTCTGGAGAACTTGATTGCATTTAGGAGGTGATTCAGCTATTGGATTCAGGTGTGTTGGATCAGGGAGACAACCAAGAGTTGCAGGACACCGGCCCTCGAGGACCAGGAGTGCCCACCCCTGGTCTACTTGATGCAACACGTTTCATAAATTTTCAAGTACATCCCCTAGGTGCTGCTTTTATACAAAACATACTAAAAGAGAATCTTACCATTAGTATAATATCTACATATACAAAAAGCATGCACAATTTAAACCAAAATTTTTGGCTCTAACTACAGTGTTTCGCAGCAGTTTTTACATTTTACATGTCCTCCGAGCACAAAATATCTGCTGAAATCCACATGTTACTTTATTTAGCAACTGAAGAAGCATTCTTGAGAAATATTAATAGATTCAGGACTTGCCTTCCATTTCTCCATTGTCATAAAGATCATTTCTGAATTGACAAGTCATTCGTTTTTTCAATGTTTCAGTTTCACTCTTGAATAATAATGTTGTTCCTCAAGTTCAAATGGATAAGTAAATAAGCATATCTCTTATTTACTTACCAGTGTGAAAAGCACATGAGCTGAGGTAAACTTTACCACCGCGATCAAAATCTGACATGACTATTGTGACTGTGTGTCTCATCAGATCCAACAGTTTTCATCATCAGACTGGTGGTCCTGCTGCTGACTCTGCTGGTCTTCTGCTCTCTGATTTTCTACACCCACAAGGTAGCGTTGCAGGTTGTTTCTGGCTGAGCTGAAAAGCGCTCAGCCTGGCATGATGCTCTCACTCGACTGTGCCTTCTTCCTGCAGACCACCAGGGCGAAGCAGAGGGTCCAACAGAATGACACGGAGCTGGAATATTACAATCTCGGCGTTGGAGGTGTTCCGGAAGCATCACCATAATGTATTGAAGTGGCGGTGAAGGCCACTATCAGAATGCCTGAGTGATGTGTTAAGTTTACTAATGGATCTTGGGTGAATTAACTGAAGCCTATTGACTGTTTTTCTATTTTGGGTTTAATGCCATTGCATAATCTTTTATAATCCCTACAATGTCATTATGAAAAGTATAATAATTCAAACAGCCATTCAACTAAAAGAACCCTTTTCCTCAACACACGTGGCATCATGAATTTTTAAGAAATCATTTTTCAAGATGTTAGTGTTTTTGCTCAAATAGACAGTATTACGTACAATCAAGTACGTTACATTCAGCTGTTATATCTAATATGACTTAAAAGAAATTTGACTTCACTATTCAACACCTTGAAATTGGGCCTCCGTCTCTTTAAAAACTCCTATTCTGACACTCCACCTTTAAGGATGTCATCACGTTGCTTTACAAAAATATTAATTTCACTCCAAGTACATTCTTTATATTAACATAGAACTCACTTTAATAACTTTATAACAAAGCTTTTTCCATTGATTGGGTAAACAAAATATACAATATATATTGATATTATATAATTTATGCATATTAATGTTGACCAATGCGTTCAACTAGTACACAATGGTTTTCCATTCCATAAAATGCTCCCCAGACATTTAAATGTATAAATATAGAAGTGAAAATAAAGAAAACATTAGTTCTGTCGGTGGGACAGAGCCAGCAGGAAAGAGATGTTTCTTCTTTTGTTTTTATTTTGGAAAATATTTGGGCGTTTCTTCATGGTGACCTCCACTGTGATGTCTGCTCTGCTTGCGTCCTGCCAGCTGCTTGACACGTCATACGTTAATGCAACAAGAGAACGCTTTTAAAATGTCAAATCTTTATTATTAAACAATTCAGTTTAAAGTCTTGTACAAAAATATTTACATACATCAAATGTATACATAAAAAAAAAGTTCCAGTGCAAATGAGAAATTAACTTTCAAACTGGAGACAGGTAGCTGCTGTTGGAAATAGTTTTACTTTTTTTTCCTCCCTTCAAGTCTTCAGGTTTCACAATTTTTACAGTTTTCAAACATAAAAGTATTATTTTTTTTATATTGCATCAGATGCTGAAGCGGGATGTCGTTTCAGTTTCTGCTTTAAAACCTTCCCTCCTCGTCAGACCGATCCGTCGGCCCGTTTATCCGCGCCGTGACGCGGACAGGTTTTACTCCGACGCAACAGCTGAATGACATCACACCTGATAAATGCATAAAACATGTGAAAACCAGCAGCAATGACCTGGAAGCGTAACCTGGATAGAGAAACTATGAACAGATTCATTGGATCACCGGACAGAGAGCGTTTCCACGGGAAACGTAAGAACCAGCCACTGCACAGACGGTTAAAAAGCGAGCAGAGCTTCTCCGCCTCGTCGGACTCAGACGTCGCTCGGCAACCCGTGCACTCTGAAGCGGTACATGCACGTGTACTCTGGGTGGCCCCAGTTAGACAGAACCTGCACCTCGATGATCTGGAAGGCTTCGTCGTTCTGCTCCTGGAGAATACCAGAGAAATGAAGCAGAGCAGTCAAAAGCCGCCATGTTTCTCCTGGTTTCCATCCTCTAAACTTTTTTGGGTAATATTTTAACGTTCGCCAGACTTTCTGAAGGTCCGTCAGAGTTTATTTGCATATTTTTTTTCCATCACTTTTTTTTTTTTTTCATAAACCCACCAATGTTCATGTACATTCAACAAATTTTTAAAGACAAATATGATTTAAGCAAAATGCCCACATACAGTTCTAAGTTTATTAACTTGTATACTGAATAATTTGCAATTTACTGATAGCTTTAGTGAGTATGATGGTGTGCTTTTGTAAACGCTTTTTAGGTAAAGACAGTAATTGATGAAGAAAAACAAACTTGAAGTGAAAAACATTTTAAATTTTTTGTTTGAATCTTTCTGCCCAATTTGTTTGTTAGAAATTCACAATATAAAAGGAAAACATGTAACTGTCATGCTATTGTTATATATTGTTATCCCACTCGTCTGACATTACAAAGAGTTTTAATTATTCACTTCTGAATCATTCAGGCTGGAAAAAAAAAGATCAGAAAGAGGAGAGATGTCAAGTCTGACATCAACTTCTTTAAAGGAAACTCTGCAGCACAATTCCAATCTAGTTTCTACAGATCTGAGGAACAACCACTTACCGAGATGGTGAACATCTGCAGATCCTCTCCGTCTTCGTCATACGTGAAATTTCCCAGCAGTTTCCCTCTGTCCTGGTGCTCATCTTTCAGACCCTGAAATTAAAAAAAAAATAAATCCAATGAAGCTCAGACCAAATGCAGCTTTTCAGAGCTCTGTAGTCCTGGTGTTCTCATACGTAGACGCTGAAGTCCCGTGGAGCGCTGCGCAGCGTCCCGCTGGGGGCCAGGGATTTGGGGACGTGCTCCATGGTGACGGCTGTGGGAAGGATTTTCATGGACAGCTGGATCACGAGGAAGCCTGTAGACCCTCTGAAGGCCCAGCAGTTCCCAGGATGGACATCAGGCTGCCGGGGAAAGAAAGCGGAATTATTTTTTGAAAAACTGAATTCAGGGCCTAATATTGATCAGTCTGGTGTTTCCTTCTTAGAAATCAACCTTCATCTTTTGCAGTGTGCTTGTTACCTGGATCACAGTTCGAGGAGACTGGGAGAAATACCAGAGAGGAAGTCCGAATAAGCTCAGCAAGGCAGACTTCGTCTCGTAGGTCTCGGAGCAGCGAGTGCTGAGGATGCTGCCCCCTGCAGGACGAGCACACACACACATCGGGCAATTTATAAAAACCGAATGCCTGCATTCAGCTCCGGGTTTATAGGGAACGCAACAAAAAGAAACAAAATCTGTAAGGACAAACTGAACAAAACGGTAAATGAGAGTCGGTTTCCGACCTCCGGACTCCAGAGCGTAGTCGGCCAGGCCGGTTCGATCCTGAGAAAACAGCTTCAGAGCCTCCATCACCATCACACTGACTTCCTGGAAATGCAGAGAAGCAGTTTAGGAGCTGTGATGTTAGTTTGAGAACATCTGGGGATCAGCGAGTCAGAACAACCTCAGTACCTTTACTCTATTTAATTCATAGAAACCCAAAAGTGTCCAGGTGGACAGTCAATGTATGTAGATGTTGAAAAGTCAATGGATTAAATGTCAAATGTTTGAGCAATTACTTTAATAATCAATTATTCAATCTGTTACATTTTTGATTAACCAATTAATTTTTTAATAGAATTGGAACCAGATGAAGCAAAGATGATGCCAATTCAGGTGTTCTGGGTTGACATATTTGCAGATAAAGTTTTTTTTCCATAAATGTGAAAAGTATGTACATTTTGTACAATTAAGACCTAATGACAGTTCTGAGTGTGTTGTTTTTTTGTGAAATAGCCTTTTTTGAGTTAACAATTAATCAATTACTAAATTATTTGACCATTTTTTCAAAAATAAGCTCCTCACAATTAACTGTCTCAGCCCTGGTTGGGCTGGTACCAACATCATATGTGAGGGTACAATTGAGACTTTCCCACTCACCTCCTTGGTTACAGCGTTCCCGGGAAAATCCAGTACATCCTCTTTGACCGTCTCCTCCTTACTGTTCTGTCGCCGCCACCGGCTGAGTTTCTGCAGGATGCTAGACTCCAGAGAGGACAGCGCCTCCTTCAGGTCGGCGTTGCCCACGAACCGCTGCGACAGCCACTGCAGGAGAGACTCTGGCAGGTCGGAGTCTCTGCCCTGGGTCAGCTGGTTTCCGTAGACCAGAGCCCGAACCTCCTCCCGGATCAGACCCGATACTTGCTCTGACATCTGTGGGGGAGAGCTTCAAGTCAGAAACGCTTCACAGAAAGGCTTTTATTGTGAAAAGTGAGTGATCAGTGTCGCATCCCCGCACTGTCTGCTGGATTCCGTCTAGTTTCTGGCAGCCGTCCTGACACCCAGACAGACCGTCCACGTCCCGCGAAACGCCTGCCTGCAAAGTATCCTGGGACGGTTTGTCCATTCTGGAGCTGTTGAGAGAAAATTTACGTTTCACTTTTAAAACCATTATGAATGGAAGACCTAAATCACACATTTTGTGTCTCTGAGAAAAAAACAAAACACATATTTAAAAAAAAATGCATCGAATTTACAGGATTAAATGGTCAAGATAGTCAAATTTTAATGTCTAGAATTGATGACATTTTATGGCCTTAGCTTAAGACACATGTATTTAAGACCTTTTAACAATGTACTTTTAAGCAGGATGAAAAGCTACCTGGAAGTGTCCTCATTTCTTCCCTGCAGCTCCTGTATAACAGCAAATTGCAGAGATTAGACTGATTCAGATTTGTTCCTGTGTGTGACCGAGATCTCAAGACTTACCCGACTCCTGGCTGTGACCTGCTCCAGCTGCCGCTGCAGCTGATCCAGACGGGACGCCTGGTTCTTCAGCAGCAACAGATCCTGCTGTCGCATCTACGAATGGACACAAGCACATACACACACACAGGGAGGAAAACTCAGTTTCAGGTCTTCATTCTGGAGTCTTCAGTCTTACTCTGTGTAAAATTTTCATGTTTTATTGAATGATAAATCTAAAAACTATGTTCGCTGTCAGAAATCATGGAAACTTAAAAAAGAAAGAAAAAAATAACTAAAATTTCTTCAGGTTTTAGTCGTCAGAGACACAAGTGATACAGTTTCAAAGCATTTCAAACAGAGCTGGGCGATTATGGCTTAGAAATAAAAAAATCTCACATTTTTCTCATGCCAGATTAGATTTGAACCAACTTTGCATTTGCACTCAGATTCTTTTCTAAAATAGAAATTACAACTGAGAGAAAACATTGTCAAAAGGTTTACAATGGAACCTTGTGAACCTCAGGCGTGGCTACAAAGATCTTTGTTTAGTCGCGATAACACAGTTGTAATATTAGCAGAATAAAGACGCAATTCTACTGGAAGAATCTCCAGCAGAGTTGGTAATATTGTGACCCTATTCTCATATTACTACAACTGTGTTCTTGTAATAGTAAGAAAAAAAATTGTAATCATAGTGTTGGGCTGAATTCAAAGTTGAAATAATTAAAAGTTTCAAAACCAGACTGTCAAACAAGATGAAGGCTTTCAAAATAGTCTTCATCGCTCGAAACTATGACAACCCATGAAGTAAATTGGTGCAAAAAGAAAAAAAAATAATCCAGATTTCCTAAAAAAAATTAATCTTCACAAACCAGAAGTTTGATTAAATTGATAAAAGTCCATTTATCGCCCAGCCATAATTCCAAAATATGAAGAACCACTGCAATCAGCAGAAATTAGTGTTTGAATGTTAAGCTGGTGACTGGTTTCCAACCTGCTCCCTCAGCCGTCTCTCTTCGTTGAGTCGTCTTCGAAGCAGAGACAGCTGCTGCTCCATCAGCCCCCTCATCCACAGCTCCATGTCGTACTCGCTGCGCTGGGGCCCGGGCGCCTGCTGACGGAGGTCGGTGTAGAGCTGGAGCAGCTCCTTGTGACTCTCCTCCGCCCGTCGCCCTGCAGCCTCCATCTCTTCCCACAGTGCCCTCAGACTCTGCTCCATCTGAACAAGATGTTCAGGTTCCATCCCTGCTGGTGGAGCTGGTGACAAAGCTTCCTGGTAGAAAATATGACCGAACACAGAGGTCTGATTTAAAAGCTGAAGGGATGCAAGTTATGGATTCAAGAGTTAATCTGAAGTCAACTGATTTTATCGATCAACTAACGATTAATCAATAAGTGTCCATTTTCTTGAAATCCTGAATTTCTCTTGTATCAAGAGTACCGACAGACCAAAGCTGATGCTGCTCCTCGAGTGTTTATATTTCAAAGCAAATCTGCATAAAGAGCATTCTGTGTCTGTCTGTTACTCTTTCCCATTCTGGTATGGCCTGCCATCTTTATTCCTGTGTGAACCGACTCTGATTAAGAACGACCAGCGGCACCCTCTTCTGGATGGAGGCCAAACTACAACACAAAAAATCTCTAAGTGGACATTAATGGATCCAATTTTAATTTAAAACCGTCACCTGATAATTAAAGTTGAACATTAGGATTATTTGTCTTTCCTGAGCAGATACCTGTGGCAGCATTTCATCTGATGGAGGGTGACTTTGGACCAACTCCTCTGCAGCGCCCTCTGCTGACTGTTGCTGAAGAGGCAAGAAGCTGTGGACTGAGGACAGACCTGGAATATCCGCAATGTTGATCCCCAAAAGGAACGAGTAGATACCAGCTGGACAGTACCATGACAAACCTGACGGGAAAAACATAGAAGCATAATTATTTTATGTAAACTTCAAGTTCTGCTCCGAGAAAAATAAGAACTACCCTAAAAACAACTGTGATTCTAAGAAAACGAAGACGTGATCGATTCACACCAAATCAGGTAATCAATGAAGCTAAAGATTAGTTAGCATCAAGTAAAATTAGCCAAGACTCCCCCATTTCTTTTTCTGTTTCGGGAGAAATGGGACAATTATTTAAGCATCAGCTTCATGAGGATTTTCATAAAGTACAACTTACTGAAGAGGAAGAGGAGGAGCAGGAGTGCGATGAAGAGTCTGGGGAGAAAACAAAACAAAACAAAACATTTCAAATCAGCTCAGTCTGATCTTAAATTAAATTGTTTTTAATTCTGAAAAAGAAACAATGGTTCGCCTGGGTTTTTTTTTTTTTAACGTTTTCCTGAAGCCTGAACTTTCAGTTTGTCACCATACATTATATTATTTAACAGGAAATGATGGATCCAAGATTAGTCCACCAAACAAAAACCACTGGATTAACATTAAGTTTTATAATCTTCAGAATTTGCTTCAACATAGTAGAAGAAACGCTTATGGTTTAATCAAACTCCTCTAGATGCTGATGGGATGGGATCAAACGTCTTACTTGCTTAAGCGGGAGGACGGGCTCAAGTGACTCCATCGTCTGTTGATCCATTTGAACACACAGCCTGAGGACACAAACAGATCCAGGATCAGCTGCAAGTCAAGTTAAAGGAGACGAGATTCAACGTCAACAAAGTTCTGCTAAACGCTTAAAACAAGATGCACAAACTCCACCCCTCAATGGCTACGAAAAGCTCTTCAATTGCTACAATTATGAAGGATTTTTGTCTTCTTTGCTGCGATTCAGATTGCGTAAATATGGCCGATGTTTGAGAGGTGGAAACGGTTCCACATTCTGATTCTGGTGCATCTTATTTCAAAACACACACACACCGCAGGACCACTACAAGGGAGATCAGAGTCGGGGTCTTCTAGCACCACCTACAGACATCTAGCTAAACTACACACATGGCGACTGTAACCTGCAGAGTGTCCGCCTCTCAGTGAAGCAGAGAAAACCAGCTGGGTAAGAAGCCACAGCGCTGCAGCTGCAGAGGCAAATGTTAGTCAAACTGAATCAGAGTGATAATCACAGAGATTAGGACGCTTTTATAGGAATACTCTGGCCTTGTCAGCTGCAGCTGCTTAAACTGAAACATTTCTGTGAATTAATGAATCAGAAACAAAGTTCCTGTTTGAGCAGCTGCTCTGAACATCGTCTGCAGCTCCTGCTGCCGGTTTTACTGAGTGAACCTGTGAAAACTGCAGCGCTGCACATGAACTCCAACACACTGGCAGACCAAGAGGAGGAGGATGACGAAAAGGACGAGATGTCCAGCTGGGAGCGCTGCTTCTCCTTGCAGTCGTCACCTGTTGATGTCGACACCGCGTTAAAACGACAAACACAGTGAAATGTAATTTGGTGTTTTAATGACCTATTCGTGCGGTTCTTTTATCCAACATGGAGCAGCAATAATTGTCAAAAACAAAAAATTGATTCACAAGTTTAAATATTATTATTCAGCTTTGGACAGGCCATAGCAGAAGCTAATGTTTTCCTGCTTTATTTATTCCAAAGCCAGCATAGATCTGTGTTTGTGACCACTGGCCTGCTGGAACACTCAACTGTGTCCACAGTTCAACCATCAAGTTGTTCATCAGAGTTGAAGTTTTAGATCTCCAACATCTTTTCAGCATGATTCAGCCAACACCATGCTTGACACTCAGTACAGTGTGGCATGGTTTAAGGGTCTTAAATTGACTCTGACCAACCTTGGATTTTGTATTGTGGAGCAGAATCTTTTTAGAGTTTATAGATTTCACCCGACTCGAATTTAAGACCATTATGACTGGGATTTAAGGACATGTTTGGATCAGCTGGTCGAACACAGATGTGAGAGTGTGCCAACAGAACTGCAACCCCAAACACACATTAAACTTTTGCAGGAAATAAGAAATCTAAACGAACTTCTCAACTTTTGCAAGGAAGAGTGGTGAGCCAGAAAGATGCCGAAGGTTATAACTCATAAAACCCTCAAAAACATTTTACAGAAGAAATTACAAAATGCCTGGATTATTTATGAAGTGAGTGAAAACAGTGACTGTTGGCATAGGATCTCATCTGAAACAATTCCAGCATTCCACTTCAGACTTCGGTTTAAAATAAAACTGCCGAGTGATTGCATAGATAGTTTTTCTTCTATTAAATCTGCTCTGTAGCATCTAGCTTCCAGAACAGTTGATTCCTGCAGACCTTTTGTCCTGACTGCGCGACATCCTGCAGAGTTTCATAGAGAACCTTTTCAAAGCGCGATCCCGCAGCTGCAGGGACCCGTTTGACTCACACAGTGATCCAACGGGATGAAGCTCCTTCGGGTTGGCGTCCGTCATAGCCATGACTCCGCTGTTCCTGGACCGAGCTGCAGCACAGGAAAGAGACCTTTGAGACGTCAACAACGTGTGCGTCTTCTGAGGTCGGGAGTGGCTGCAGGTGTAGCCACAATTTGCATTTCACCGGGGAAACAGCCAAAGTGAATGCCCGAGCCGAGTGATTTGTTGGGATTTTGAGTAAGCCGAGTGTTTCCACCCCCCTCCACCTGCTAAACACCAGACTGGCTAAGGAATAGGAGGTGGTGATCTGCGAGACCCATCACCTTCAGACATTCTTTACCTCCACGCCTGTTGGGCTGTGAACGTGAGGAGGGCTGGAACGCCTGCCAGGAGAGCCGCAGCGCAGACGCGCAGCGGGCTGCGGCTCTCCTGACAAACAGCAGAGAGGAGGTCAGCCACAGCTGCAGCACATCTGGAAGAGCCGAGTCAAAAAAGATGAAGCGGGTGTCCTGCGGCGCCTTCAGTTCAGCCTTCCTCACAGCAGGAAGCCGATTTACATATAATGAACACAAACCATGAAAGTGCTGCAGCAACACAATTTGCTCCAAACCTTCAGAGGCTTCAGTGTCAAAAAGGGAAAAATCACTGTGAAAAAGTCTCCACTTTTAAACATAGAGGAGTTTCTAAACTAAGAGAACATGGATGCAAATTCCACCTGATTAACTGTTGGAACTTGAACTAACGCCTGTCGCAATAAGCAATTCATTAACTGCATGATAAGTTAAAAATAGCTAAATATTATTATTATTATACTTTATTCAACAGACTCATGGTCCACAAGTTACACAACAACACAACATACAAAACAAGAGAAAATAAAATACAATAAGTAAATAATTTCCATTGTGAAGATTAACATTTTTCGAAGGGCAATTTTGTTTACAGAGACAAAGTATACATAAATATATTTTACTCATGGTTTTGGCAATAAGTGGTTTTTAATTTGTTTTATTTGTCATTTTTGGTTGCATTTTATTTTGGATACTTAAAATATCTTCCAGTTTCAGTGTTTGGTGTTATTTATAATGATCCAAGTTTATTGGTCTGTCAGAGGGCAAACTTACCTCATGATGTTATTAACATATTACAATGGCGCTATATAAACAAACTTTAAATATTCTCTACCCAATATATTTTAAATGAGAATGCGACAACTACTTTGAGTAAAGTCAAGGACTGCATGAAGGGGAAGCCCCGCCCTCTCACCTGCCCTGCTCTTGCGACCTCTGTAGTAGATGGTGGAGGTTTCCTTCTTGGGTTCCTTGTCAGATTGTGCCGCGCTCGGACCGTCGCAGTCTTTACAGCAAAGCCTGCTGAGCGCCTGGTCAGAGTGTTGGGCACCAACACTGTCTGACCCAATCAGACTGCTGCTCTCACTGGCTATGATAGTGCTTTCTGAGAGAACGAGAGAGAGAGAGGGAGAGGCATAACAGATGAGCACTTTTTTTCAGCAGAGAAGAATCTGTTTTTGCAACTCTAGTTGAAATGATGAAGTTAAGTTTGCGTTTCTGATCCGAGCAGGAACCTACCTTTGGGATCTGCATCCTGGTCCAAACCTGAGGAGGAAGAGCAGAGAGTTAAACGAGGTTCAGATTTATGATGATGAAGATGTCAAAGAGGAGGCAGCGGCGGGATTACCCCAGAAGGTTTCGACCAGCGTGCTCTCCTGGATGGAGGACTCGTCCAGCAGGGAGGAGATCAGGGAGGCGTCCGACGCCACACTGTTGATGCTGCTGTTGTGGAGGAACTGAGACGAGCCGACGAGGAGCGACTCTGAGCAGGAGGCCGAGTGCCGCTGGGAGCGACGGGACCCGCCGCTCCTCCAGCCGGCTCCTCCCACGACGAGGGAGGCGCTGCTGCGAGGCGCAGGGCGGCGGTCCAGCAGGCCACCGTCAAGCCGCAGGCTGCGCCTGGACATGAGGGAGGAGGGGGTCCGCTGGTCCTGTTCGGAGTCCGACGGCAAAGAGGAGTAGCAGGAGCTGAGGAGGAAAAAGTTAGAATGAGTCATAAGAGGTGGTCTGACAACTGGAAACAGGAATCAGAAATCAGGTGATTGAAAACTCAAACTAAAGAAGGAGCAGCTCTGTGAAGGGGCAGCCATTTATTGTATCGCTCATCATTTATCATAACAAATTTCGGTTTATCGTCTTGATGAATTTCAGTTAATGTTGAATAGAAAAGAAATTTAGAGTGTTGTTGTAAATGTTACTTTTATGTTTTCTTTTTTTACTGTTTGTTCTACAAAAGCATCAATAAATAGCAGTAAATTGAAAAAAGCTGCTGTGCAGTTTAACTAGATAAATCTCATTTTGTCCCAAGTGCCGCCCTTGAGAAACTCATTTCAAGTGGGAATGTTTATAATAGACAGTTTTTATGTTTGTGCAGTCACAGTCATACACGTAACCTGTAAAAAGAAGTAGTTTTTTTTTTTTAATCACAATTTTCATTATCATAAATGTACCAGAAAATACCATAATACATTTCGATGTCCACATTGCCCACCAGCCCTCATCTTAACTGAACTAAAACACTTTTTACCGTAAGTAAAAATCACTAATGAATTTTAAATAATTGATTAAAAAGATTAAATAAGAAAATAATCACAATTTCAAACACCCTGATTTAAATCAACTGCATACATTCTGCAATTATTTTTAAATGTTAACTAGAAAGTTATCTTGTCATGTGTGTTTGTGTGTGAAGTAAACTGATTTTTTATTTATTTTTTAATGGTTTGGTTTACTCCCGCTGCTTCTGTGTGAATATTTACAGATAATGTACCAGTCAGAAAGCAGTATGTTTTGTGCTGCAACTGAAACACCTTTAATCTGAAAATCTGATCACGGCATTTTCAAAAATCATCCCCAGCAGTTCTGATCAGAGACTGGGTTCGAGCACTGATCAGCCTCCGGCTGACTACAACAAATCCCTGCAACCTGATCTCACTCTCTGACCTACATACAGACACATGAGTGGAGGATACACACAGGTCAGTCCAGCCCCAGCTCTGCAGCTCTTCGTCTTCCTCCCCCATTACAACAGACACGCAGATACACATTGCAGCTCGCACATCACAGAACCACACAGATGAATAATGACATGCTGCGTGTGCTGCAGCGGGTCAACTTCGCTTGCAACCTGCCAAACACTTCCTGGACCTGTCAGGGGCAGTTGAGCTGATTAGACTCCGCCCACAAACACACGCAGGTCAGGTGGAAGGAGTCCAACAGGGAAAGCCTGAGTGAAAAAGCTGCTGAAGCCCAAGGAGAAACTTTAAAATACCTTCAGGAAGTCTCCAGAACCATAAATTAAGACCACTTCGAAAGATGAGCCTGGATCAAAATAAGAAAAATATAGAACACCGAGTCAGGATCTGAAAACTGTGCAGCTAATAATATGGCAAACAGTTGAGTGACAAGATTTAACAAAAAAAGAAAAAAAGAAAAAATCAGCAGAGATTTTTGCTAAATTATTATTTTTTTGATGCTGAACCTATCAAATCACAAAAGTATGATTATTGAAAGGATTTTTGTTTCCAGAGATTTTCTTTTCCTGAATCAGAAATGCTTTGCTGATGATAAAAATAAAAATATATATTTTTAAAAAATCTAGATTTAAATTGATTATTACAAGTCGTAAATCAGAGATTTTGTGTTTTTTTGTGAAAAGAATAGATCCCATTTTAAAATAATTATCAGGCTGGATCCATATTGTTATTCATGTCTGAAATATTCAAAAGTTTTATTTTAGACGTCTGTTTTGTTTTGTTTTTTTTCCCCCGCAACTTAAACCGACGCAGGGAGATTTAATTAAAACGTTCGTCTTCCAGCCAATCAGCGTGGAGAACGGGAAACTGATGCTTGAACAAGCCAATCATATCTAGGAGAGGGCGGAGCCCCGCGAAAAACAAACTGTCAGACAATATTAACATCTTTGCTTTTGAGGGAAGACAGTAAAGAAAATAACACAAAACATGTAAAGTTCTTATAAAATAAAATTAAAACAAAGCGACAGAAATTTTTTACCTTCAGCAGAGTCACGTAATTTCCGGGATAAAAAACGAAAACTGAGTGGACCAGAACGGCTACTAGCTAAACCCGGACAGGAGAACACAGATTATCATAACAAATGAATAGCGGTTAGAACGCGGACTGGTCAACTATGCTGCTAAAGCCCGTTTTCAGAGTGAACCAGGTGAAAATATGAGATGACAATGAATTTAACCCGGTCAGTCATCGATTCGGCACCGTAAAAGCCGCTGTTTTTATAACTACGAGTCTTATCATCGCCCCCGTGTGCCAGGATACAGTATCAGCTCCGGGGATACCCGAAGATCGTATATAAACTTGGAGATAGCTCACACGTATTGAAATTACCCAGGATGGCAAATCACATCTATAGCGTTTATTAAATATTTAATTCTTAAGAATATGTGAGTTCAGAACATTACTACTGAATGTTACTATTATACATGTTTTTACACTAAATAAGACGTTATCTTTACGAGATTCAACACTTCGTAAACCATTGCATCAGCTGTAATTGTGACAAAGTCACGTTCCTGACCAATTGTGGGACATTTTATGAAGTAAATATCACATATAAATAATATTTATACACTTAAAATAATATATGTGATATGTTGCTGGTAGTAAACAAAAAGGGTGATTTATCCTCGACACGTCAAAGCATCAGACGGAGATAGTATTTGTTTGGAGTGAGCCATCTTTCCATCAAACTTTGTCGGCGTGGTGAACCGGATGTCGAGAGACATTTCCGGCGCAGACACGGTAGCACGTGTGTGTTTTGGGGACTCCTTTCTCGCTCGGGTAGGTGCTGATAATGTCCGTAAAGTTTTTTTTTTATTTACGTTGTCAGTGTGTGTTTTAGTTTATCTGACAGCAGGTAACTTTTATATCACACAACGCTGAATAAAGTGAGCAGTTATATTTTTACAGTCCCGAGATAAATAGACAGTAAGGAGCACATGCTTCTCTCTGTGTTTACACCGAGCTGCACAGAACTAAACCGATTCATGGGTGTTTTCTTTACTGATTAGAAATGTGATAATTAAATTCACATTATCAACACATTATTAATTGTGTGTTTGTTTCTCTTCTCGTCCAGCTGTGAACTAAACCCACTAAATTGTTCCACCTTTCCAAACCAGAAAAGATAAAGCATGAAATAAAACAGTATTATAAAATGTTAGAGTAGGGGAGTTGTGAAGTGGAATAAATGTATATTTTAAATTTCTTACAAATAAAACTCTGAAATGTGTTGCATGCATTTGTATTCCCTGACCTAGAGCTAAGTGTGTTGAATGTGATTATGTTTGTGTTTCCTTCATCATCAGCAGAAGTCATCATGACGTCCTTGGCTCTCCAGCTGAAGAGGCTTGCGCTGCCTCAGAGCGATCCCAGCCTGCTGAGGCGTAAAGATGTCGCCTCGCTGCTCTTTGACCCCAAAGATGCTGCCATCATGGACAGGAGCACCTTCTACGCCCTCGGTGAGTCTGAGCCTGAGCCAGACACGGAACCGCTTCCCGTTCCCCCTCTTGAGGGCTTCTCTGTTCTCCACTCTTTTCCAGGCTGCACTGGTCTGGAGGAGCTGCTGGGAATCGAGCCGGCTTTCCTGGAGTTCCAAGACACCCTGTTCAGCCACGCCTCCATGACGCTGGAGCGCAGTGTCCAGTCCAAAGAGGTCAACGAGAAGCTGGACGCCGGAATCTCGCTCTTTCTCACGCGGCTCTGCCCGTACTTCTTGCTGAAGCCAGCTCACAAGTGCATTGAGTGGCTGGTTCACCGGTATGTCGCTCTGCTTTACATCATACCTGAGTCAATCTTTTCCTTGGAGCAGACTTCAAACTGTGACTTTTTCAACAATTTCTGATGCTTTTACGACGTTAGTCTCTGAATGTATTTCTCCATTTGGACACAGAAATACATGATTTGTTTGTGTTGTTACTGGTTTTCCCACTAACAGCTAAAACAACAAACGTTAATTTTCTTTGCTAAATGGAAGATTTGCAGCGTCTTCATAGCCAACTGTTGGAAAACAGTTACAGTTATTCAATTGTTTGCATTTTTGGTGGGATTGGTTCTCTTTGGTACTCTTAAAGGTACAGTGCACAATTTTAACTTGCTGCAAGCTTAAGTGTGATATCTTTTAGTTTTAGTGTTACAAGCACTAAAGCTTCCAGGAGAGTTTCTGATCGGAACTCTTCGGGTTCTGATCCGTTATTGACTCAAAGGATGAGGTAGAGGTTAAGATGTTCCAGACTCACGCTGGTGTTGTGTCGTTCAGCTTCCACGTGCAGCTGTACAACCCTGACAGCCTGCTGGCCTGCGCGCTGCCGTACCATGACACCAACTTGTTCGTCCGAGTCGTGCAGCTGCTGAATCTCAAAGAAGCCACCAACCGCTGGAACTGGCTGCAGTGCTTACAGGTCTGGATCCGTCCTTCGATAATCTCTCTGTTTCTGGTTCTGCTCTGTATGGATTTAAAGCATCTTGACGTTGCAGAAACCGGGCGTGCCACTCTCTAGAGGGACTCTGATCACACACTGCTACTCAGACTTGAGCTTCATGGACTTCATCTGCACCCTGGTGACGCGGTCCATCCAGGTGACCTCACCGACACACGGAGCCTCTGAAAGAGTAGAGATTTGCACTCCCAATATACGACAAGCTCTAACAGCTCTCCATTCTCCTCCCCAGGCTTACTCTGGACACTCTAAAAGCTTCTCTCAGCTCCGAGTCATCTTCTCTTTCTACGCCTGCACCATCGTCCCCGCTCTGGATGCTGTGGGCAAAATCTCTGACGCTATCATCGCCAAACTGCTACCATATGTCCAGATGGTAACAAACTGAACACACAGTCAGATTGTGCTCCTTTTTTGAAAGAAGGAGCATATGTCATTGTTAAAAAAAATAAGATGTCTCAGCTGAGCAGGTCAACTAAGATCGGGTCCCATTTGTGTCCTGGTCGTCTCTTCAGGGTCTCAAGTCGTCCCTGTCGGACTACAAAGCCGCCACCTACATGATCGTGTGCCAGCTGGCGGTGAAGGTGGTGATGGAGGCCAGTCTGGTCGACAGCCTCGCCGTGCACGTCAGCAAGTCTCTGCGCAAAGAGCCCGTTCTGGCCAAAGAGGGTCTGGGCTGCCTCATCGTACTGCTGCAGAACCAGAAGGAGGGCTCGGTCGGTCCCAGGTACCCCAGAGGTGGTTCGGACGTTGATTGTTGTGCTCAGTGCAGGTGTGGTCTCTCCTTAACGATGTGTTGCTTTTGTGCTTAGGGCACTCAAGAGTCTGTGTTCGATGCCAGTGCTGGTTTCCACCCTGCAGATCATGGCGGCGAGCCACGATGTCGGCCCTCTGCTGGGTTACATGCTGCCTCAACTGGTCCGCGGTTTGTTCTGCAGCAGCTCAGGTGAGACTGTGAACATTTTAGGTGTCAACGGTGTAGCCATGTGATAACTGGGATCAGAGTTTAACAGGTAATCTCTGTAACAGATGAGAAAGGGGCAGAGAGACTCGACATGCTGGAGTCCATCCTGAAGTCTGTCCCGCTGACCAAAGACTTGGACCGAACTGTGGCTCGGTAAGGCTCCTTGGTCTTGTTTCATTTTACACTATTGTTTTAACAATAGCTTCCCTTGATATGATGATGCCATTTGATTGCAAACTTATATGAGAGATTTTTAAACTTGTTTTTAAGAATTCAATACATATATGGAAAAATGTATCCACCAATATGCAGAATGTGCATGCAGCATACCGATAAGCACGCAACATGTGGTAGAAGGAAGCAGAAATCGAACGTACAACCTTCCGATCACAAGACGACTACGGTCGCCCCATAATTGAATATAAGAAAATATTTTTGTTTCAGATGTTTGGAGGTGTGAACATGACATCTACCATATATAATAAAACATATTTTTCATTCCTAATAAAATAGCCTTATTTGTTAAAGTGATTTTCAGAAGTTGTTGCTGAAAAATGTTAGTCATATCCCTCCAGAATATCCTCGTATGACAATACGATGGTGGTGTAGCATGTTGTGTCATTGACACATGGTGGGTATCATCATTTAAACTTCCATTAAACACCACA